AGTGAAGGCGAAAAGTCTTGAAACAAGCAGGAACTGATGATAGCTACAGCACAGGCCTGGCAGAGCATCACCAGGGCAGATACTCAACATCTAGTGATGTCTATGTGTTACACACTTCAAGCAGTCATTGCATGCAAAGGATATATGTGGCTGAGAATGTTAAAAATGATTATTCTGCATTCTGGTAAGCTGTCCAATATCTCATATGCACCAGAAAATGAGGGGCTGGGGGAGCCTATCATCTAACAGTGCAGACATTTCTAACCAGTTAATTCAAATAACAGCAGATAGTCTGCACTTCAACCTCACTGTTATTGTATTCTTTCAAACTCAACATGCTAGAGTACAGTGATAAAAGAAAAATTCACTGTCCAATGAATTATGGTGCTCATCTTGCATTTTGAATGGCAGAGGCTTGAGACTGAGGCTAAAGAGCCCATGTCCAGGTTCTTTGTGTGGCTAGGAACTGGTGATGTATCCCCAGCAAACGCTTTATTTTTTGGGGAGAATCTCTGCCTCATTCAGAGATCTTGCCCTCTACCCCATTATGGGTCATTCCACATGAAGTCAACCAGGTCTCCAGTGGGCATAGTTACAGATTTTCTTAAAACTTAGATAGAATGTTGCTTTGGGTGCCAAATGAAAAAATACCAAGTAAAATAAGGGTCAATATTACCAAAGAACTGTAAGTGCTACAGGATATTAAATGGTGGCTATAGAAAGCTCTTGACCATTACTAATAGCTGATATTACCACAAATCCACACGTCATCAGATGGGAGTGAAAATGGTACCTTACATTTGCGCGTTTTGATACCGGTTTGTAAGAGTAGCATTTTTGAGAGGCTATAAAACCACAATAAAAGGGCTAAAACTACTTTGATTGGCAATAAAGGGTAGTACAGTGCCTAGAAATGTCCTACAAAAAATCCTGGGGTTAGCTTTATTATTTCCAGAATTACAGCATGTTAGAAATGGAAAAAAAAGGCAAATGTTGCCAACCCAGGATGCCAGGCCCACCTTTTTGACCCCCCAGAAAATTAAAACTAGAGGGCCGATTGAGCTAAAACTTGATATTTTTCGGCACCCAAAGGAATATTCTATTAAAGTTTGAAGAAAAGCCATGACTACGCCCATGGAAAATTGGTTGATTATATGGAATGACCTTTATATCTCTGTATCTCCACTTAGTTTTGGCTTCACTGATAAGAAGACAATTCGAGGCCACGCCCCGGTGGGTCAGTATGGGAACGGGTTCAAGTCTGGCTCCATGCGTCTGGGGAAGGATGTCATCGTCTTCTCTAAAAACCGGGACACCATGAGCGTGGGGCTGCTGTCCCAAACTTACTTGGCGGCCATTCAGGCTGAACACATTAGAGTGCCCATTGTAATCTTCAGACAAGATGGAGACAAGTATATCCTTCTTTGGGTAGAAACCTGAACTCCTTAAGAGGCCTCCTGGTAAAATCACTGAAATTGGCCATCAAAATATGGCTGCCTAACCACCTCTCTCCCTCTCTCTTTCTCTTTCATCAAGCCTTCACCTAGTGCAAGGGCATTTCGCCAACAATTAAATTACAAAGAGTTTCAAAATTTAGGCCTATTTAAATAAGCACACTTAACTATACACATTTTCCCAACGCTGCCAAGATATTTGTGTATTTATCACTCTCGTGTTTTCCCCCTGTGTCAGCTGCAAAGATTACAACGACCACAATCCATTGCGCTAGCTTACTACTTCAGACAGACTCAGCCCCACGCGGACCTGTCATTTCGCATTGTGCGGAAAATAACTTACATTTCTGTTAAGAGAACTGGTCATGTTGGTAACGCCGATAGTTTGTTCTATTCAGGGTGCATGGCTACAAAAAGGCCAAAGCTAGAGAAGTGATGTTTCACTCTATTATGGGCGATAAAATGATAACAGGCCATAGCTAGCACGACACATAAAAGTAGACGTGCTCGCAAGTAAGTATTCAAGTGTAACGTTAAGACTTTGCAGGAGATCACCAATTAGAGTTACTGGGTCGCCCTCTGGAACAAATTCTGAACAACGTGCTCATACTGTTCAATTTTCCATCTCATGATCCCAGCATATAAAGACAGTCAAGACTCAATTTTGCTCTCGAAACCCCCGTTGGAGGAGAGAAGATGGCCAACAGAGCTGAGTAATCCAGCGGCAGTTTTCTTACACATCAACACAATAATCAAAAAACAATCTGCTGGCAAAATGTTTAAGTTGTGAACTTCCGAGCAAGCTTCAGCCATCTGACATTACAACCTTAAGCCAAGGGTAATGTCACTCAAATATAAATGAAGCATGTAAGCTTGCCTCAGTCTGCTACGATTGCAAGCGAAGGTAAACCAAAAGGTAACAGTAAAGAAGGCACGTTATCAAGCTAGTTTTCAATAAAATGCATCCCGGTCCATAACATCATTCACACTCTTCTTTTGGGGTGCCATTCCCGCAGTTAGAAACATAGCTAGCTAGTTTTCAAGACAAGCAAAGATCTAACGCACATTCCGTGGCCACTCAGATGCGGAGACTAGAAATCCTGGCATAAATAACTTGTAACTCTTCCTTACGTCCAACTGCGCCAATGTTTGTGTCATCTGATGACTCTAGAAGGGAAAGTAGACAGATTTAGCAACTGTTTTCTGGAGATATGCAAAAACTTGACAAAAACTACATGCATTTTTTTTCCTCACTATATCCCAAACTCTGACAGATGGAGATTAGTTTGAAAATCGGTGAAGTGTTCCTTTAAATTAGCTGAAGTCTGGCCGACATTCTAAGATACGGAACGAAAACTCTGCTGTTGCTCGTCAAGCAAACAATCAAGAGGCTACCCTGCTGTCCCAGAATGCAATTCTGTTCCCCACCACCTTAACCACTGCCCTCACTCAGTGTTGTACCAGACCATGAAGACAGCCTAAAGGCCATTCTGGAATATTCTCTGTTTAATACGGAAGAGGAGCTACAGGAGGAACTGCAGGCCATCTCACCTGGGGGATCTACAGGAACCCGGATCATCATATGGAACCTGCGCAGGTGATACCGTACAGCAAAACATGTTAAACATTTAAAGGAAAGGAGATGTCATATTCAAACCTACATTGGCAAATATATGTGCTCATCCAACAACTTATCTTCAAAGTTTCTGTTTATTTAGGCTGTGGTGCACATTTTTGAGGTTGAGAGGGAGTGATTTTGAGCCTTTCCCGTCACCATCCTTAATCTCCTTCATTAATTGAACACCTCTGGTAGAATTTCTGTTCATTTGCTGTTGTATGTGCCTTAGTTCCAAAGGTAAGCTGGAATTTGATTTAGAAACGGATCGTTACGACATTCAGATCCCACGCACGGACTCAGGAGATTCTGAGTCTGATCCTGAAGGGCCCAGGAAAGACGTACAACCAGAGTGCACATACTCGCTGGTTGTGAGTATCACCTCCAATTATTATCTATTCAATTCAAATTTACCATGTAGCTTGGGTGCAGTCTCAATGCGGATGAAATCAACTAATGCCCATGCTTGGAAATATACAGGGCGCAGGCAAATCTTCAGAAACATTGCCGTTGATATCGGCAATGTGAAGGTATGATGCAAAGGCTAATTCAGATATGGACTGATTCAATTCTGTGGTGATTCTTAAGTGGGTACATACAGTATACTAAAGTACTAACTTTTAAATATGCTTATTTAACATTAGTGTTACTGTTATATTTGGGTAAGTCATGACCTCAGCATTCTAAATACACTTCTTTTTTGTCATTACATAGCCTGTTGCCGTGGCAACGGTAGTCATATTGGATTTTTACTTATCATCATTTGTCAAGGATTTCTCCTCAACCATTGCATATTTTTCAAAGCTGTTTTTTTTTTTTTTGCAAAATTATCAGAGATAACCACATTACAAACTTTTTTTTTTTTCAAAAAAGATCATGGCAAGGGGGTAAAATGTGACAGTCATGCAGGATTCCGTAAATGCTTTCTAATTAGTTATGCATAACCTATTTATCTCATGCCTCCCTACTAAATCTAAATCTAAGGATGTTAAATCATTGCCCTCATCATAACCTACAACCTCTGAGAAGTTCATAGAAATACCTGCTATGGTTGTGAAGAAATGTTCGTCACAAATTTTCAAAAACAGATTTACTAAAATGCCATTTTATTCATGATTATACTTATCAGATGTAATTTAATCAAGTTTGTAGTGATTCTATATGTATTATAGATGACTTCAGAGGAAAAAAACAAAATCATTGGGCAAATGAATTTTTCATTAAATATTAGTACAGTATATGTACCCCCTTAAAGCTGTAGTTCTGTGGTGATCAGCAATTATATCGCCAAGTGTCCATATTCCTCCAATACTAAAGCCTTATCTTGCGGCCAGTTTTTTTGCTGTTGTTCCTTTTGGTGTCAGGCATACAAGGGCTTAATTTATGGGGATGTAAGGACCCCCCCCAACCTCCTCCAATACTGCAGATACTCCATTGAGATCCCCGTCAACTTTGGTGTTACAACATCTATCCTTGCCAACCTCCCAATGTTAAAACTACAATTATACCCTGTAGACATGTGTTATAATAATTACAGGCATAGTTCCCCTTGTATCATTTTTTCAGATTTTTTGACCAAAGCACTAGAAATTCTGGCATCAAATATCTGGCCCCTTTTAAAGTCTGATAATATTCTCGTCTCACTTTGGAGATTTACCGTGTAAATTTCAGCCGGTTAGACCTATTTTAAGCAGATACTTGCTGCTGTTTTCATTCAAATTATTAATAGTAATCACCTGTGTAGATGCTTTTGTAATTGTAGTTGTCATGGGGAGCGGCAGGACCCAAATGCAACATAATCAACACGAGTGAAGTTTTACTTGCTTTTAATGATCTCTGAGCAGGGGCAAATAGGGGTAAACAGAATGCAGAGCAGGGTAGCTTGGTGCAGGTCAGGATCAGGAGCTCTTCAGAGAACTTGAGGGAGCAGGTGCCTATGGCGGGATTTGAACCCGAGTCACCCACATGACAGGCGGGAGAGTTACCACTTGGCCACCAGGGCAGGCTGGTTTGAAGTTCAGCAGACAAGGTCATATCCACGCAGGCAGGCAGTGGAGCGGCAAGACAGGTGGCTTGGACAGGGGCTTGGAAGATGGCAGACAGGAACCAGGAAGCACACAGGCAGAACTCAGAGTCAGAGGCAGAAGGCAATCAGGTTTACCGGGGCAGGAACGAGAGGACGTAGTCAGAGGCAGGCAGAGTCGATTCCAGGAAGTCAGACCGAAGGTAAACGCTGTAGAGTAGTGCATGCTGCAACGACAATCTGGCAAAGAGTGAGTGAAACAGAGCTGCTTATATACTGGCTAGTTAATGAGACTTAGCTGAGAGCAGTAGCAGTGGAAGGGGTATGGCCAGCAATGGAAGGGGTGTGGCCAGGCAGAGGGAGAGACGGCAGCAGCAGGGCAGACTGTGACAGTAGTGAAGAGATTTCGAAGTAAAAACCATATTTCAGAGATGCTTGTGATATTTTCTCCACCCCATGTGTAAATACAAAAGAATCGCCCCAACAGCATTCAAAGCCTGAATGAAAGGTTATTCAAATGGAACATGGGTTTCACACTGTTGTATATTTAACTGAGAATTCTGATATTCTTTGCCAGTAATCTCTCAAATGACTCATGTTGTTTATGAAAAAAAATTTGGAAAAAGGGTGTTAGCTGGTGAATTAAATGACTAAGTTAGAACCAGTTTTGCCTCTTACATGGAGACCCAAATTCATTTCTATGGGTAATCAAGTCTTCCTACAGTCATTCAAGCTACTCAAGCTACTAAAGATTCACCTCCGACTCATTCTCATCCTCAACCTGCTATTCTCTCTCTCGGCACTACAACCAAGCTACCAAAATTCAGACTTCATTCATCTCAAGGCTTATTCCCTGAGCATGTTAGCCAAACAGAATGAGAATATAGGGCTTGCTGTGATTTTACTGAACTCTTCCCTCTCTGTAGGTGTTTCACCCTGATACTGCATTTCTCTTTGTTCCTCTGGGAAACCCTCAGGCATACTGCAGCATTCTCTACCTGAAGCCTCGAATGCAGATCATCATCAGGGGAAAGCGGATACAGAGCCAGCTGGTCTCCAAAAGTTTGGCCCACACCTGCAAGGATCGATACACACCGCAATTCCTGGTATCCTTTTTTTGGTGTATGGACCATCCATTTGGGTCAGTAATGACTTTGCACTTTGCTGTATAGTTCAGGAAACCCTCAGTTATTTTTGCATGTTGTGACCCTGTATAGTTATCCAGTGTATGTGATAAAACAGTTCATCGATAGTCATTTTATTCAGTGGGTCTATAAATCTGCTTTTTTATGTAAAAACGTTTGATGCTAAATTAAAATAAGCATTAGATTTGGTTTACCTGTGTAAATCACTAAAACATGAACATCATTTATTTCTCCAAGATAAAGTCAATTCATCGCCTCATTGTCCTGGAGTCAAGTCGCATGAATGCCATGCAACTGCCAACACAATAAATTTATTTGACATATATAATGTTTTGTGCATGTGTAAGCATGAGTGGCCCATGTACATAAGATGTAGGGCTCATTAACGTTCCATAATTAGGTACATACAGGAAGCCGTAGGATTAAGCTCTCTTAGCTTCCATCTTTCCATGTTTTCGCCCTGAACTTCTTCTCCAGGGCAAGAAGAAACATATCCCTATAACCTTTGGTTATGACCCAGGAAACAAGAATTCTGGCATAATGCTGTATTACAAAAAGCGGCTCATTAAGGCTTACGAACGTGTTGGCTGCCAGTGCCGGGTGAGGAGTGGTCTTGATTAATTTATTTCAGGTTAAAATTAAAACTGTACATTAGTAGTGCTGTGGATCTCCTGTTCTGTTTAATGATTTTCTGTATCTGTGCTCAGTCTGCTCCGAAGGGCGTGGGAATCATCGGCATCATTGAGTGTGACTTCCTCAAACCAACACACAACAAGCAGGACTTCGATGACACAGAAGAGTACAGGTACCCAGACTGGATTCGCCATGGTCATCACTATCCTCCGCCACGATCAAGGGCCATAACTCCGTAAATAAATGCTGTTCAACATCCATTTTCGAACTCAAGGTAGATCAAGACTAGCTTAATAAGCATAAAAAATTTGACTCACTTAACTGCCATAGTTTTTGAGGTGACTTGTCTCCATTGAAAGTGTAACAGACAGAAGGAAGGGCGGACGGACAGATGGAATCCAATCCTTTACTCGCACCACTTCATGGCGGGGTACAGAAATGTTAATATCTCCTGGTAAACCCTCCCTGGGTCCAAAATGTCTCCCAAAAAAAATTCAGGCCATGGAGATTAAAACAGTCTTTGTCTCTTTTAACCCCCCACCTCGGGCTGGATGATAAATTCATCATGATAATTTTAAGGACAATAGTGATAACTCGCGCCATGGGGAAAACAGACGAGTTTGCTCCTTTTGTTTACCACTAATTGGTCTTGAACTAAGGGCTTCCAAACACCGAAGTCCTTATGAAATGCTTCCAAATAAGAACTTCAAAGTCGTCAGTATTTCTCAGCGATGTATTTAACAGAGCAACGTTAAGGTCTGCAGAATCATCACCAGCAATTGCTCTCACCCCGATCACATTTACTTTTCCCAAGTAGCTATTGAACAGTTAATTCGCTCTGTTACTAATTTGAATCAGAGACAGTCAAATTAATTTAGATAGCATGTTTGTTTGACGCATTTTGAAATTTAAATAGCCATGGAACAGCACAAATTTACCTGAATGTGTTCGCAAGATATTTTGGGGCTTACTTTCCGCAACTTTAAATGTTTTCCACCTCGGGTATATTTTTTGACGCTTAAAGGTGCCCTGTGTAATGGACAGCCAAAAATTAAATTCATACTCTTCACACTCCAAAGAAAAAGGGGGCAGTATACCTGCAGAAAGTGATTTTGTCTACCCTAGCGTAACAACCGAGAAATGGCACAGTCTCTCCTCCAAGCTCTCCTCCCATCAAGCCTACTGTCCGTGTCCATGATTCGCCCCCACCTTCCCAACGACCCCATAGCCGACTATCTGCAATCCAAACAGGGCCGCACTGACTCCAAAACTCTGAGATATAAACAGTAAACACATGAACGAACGTCAGTTAATGTCAAGTGATTCTGTACTAAGACATCTTCAAGCTTCTCCCCTTCACCCGATCCAGTAAATATGTCCAAATTACGTGTCATTGTTCATTCGAAATAAATTCATTGGCTAGATAACATTCGCTGCTGTTGAGCAAGGTAGCGTCAACGTAACGGTAGCTATTGTTAAGCGCTAATGCTGAACCAACATTTGCGTGAATTAATCTATCAAATGCAGGACTTTACCATAACCAGTCTCTGATCGCAAACTCAGCTGGCCAGTCGATCGCCACTGTTAGTTGACCATCACTTTACGGTACGTCGTCAAAACGGTTATAGCGGAGTTCACAATTATTAAGTAATCTTAGCTGCACATGTACAAGTCAAACTAGAGACCAGATCATTTGGCTTAGCTAATGTACCCTCCGCACGATTGACATCAGGTTCAAGAACGCCCTCAAGCCGTGCGATTTATTCGTGCACTGCAGTTTGGCTCGCTGTTACGTTGCCCGCATATCGCCATCCATGGCAGAAACTGGTATTATGACAGGACGGTGCGCAGCTAGTGATTTAGCGTGCTAATTCAGGTTGATATCTCTGCAGCACTATACCTTGTCATCTTTTATGACATCATCGCCCTTATTTCTTCTCATTCTTTTGTTGTGTCTTGCTCATTTTTTTTTATATATTTTGACCTCAATTCTTACACAGGGCACCTTTAAAATCCAGGGCCATCTGAAAATGAATTTCTTTATTCTTAATTTATCTTTAATAATTGGCAAAAATGCAACATGCGTGTGAAAAAATGTGAGCTTGAATTCAGAGGATTTTTTGCTATTTACTCAGATTGCTGGCATTCTTTCAATCTAACACTGTACCCTACCCAGGCATGCTTCTCTTCATCATTACAAGCTAAATATTGGTTTTGATTAATCAGTTGGCTTATTAAACTGTTTAATTGTTAGCTAGGCAAAGTACATTAGAATAGATTTAGGGTAGGGTAATTATGTCTGAAAAGGTGATGGAAACTGTCCAACCCCATTGGTAATCAGCTGACCTCAAAAACAGTTTCCTTCTTTAAAAACATTCCAGATGCCTTCTGACATTTGATTGGTTCACGTTCAAGACCGCATCAGCTGTGAGCCATAGAACAGAAGTAAGCTCGTCTTTACGACCCATGGTGGCAGTTATTTTTATTGTGCTTATAATTATTGTGATAAATTTGTCGTCCAGCCGGACCCCCACCCATTACCCACCTGCTGAGCTAAATGAGGTTCGATGTTCAGCACATTTATGCACTGCCTTTTTCCAATCAATCTCCCGCTCTTTTTGTGTGAAATATAGCTGGTCATTTCTTCATGTTCATTATTATTATTATTATTATTATTTCAGGAAAGTCAAGAGGGTTCTGGGGGAGAAACTGGAAGAATACTGGAATGAGATGCACCACTTAAGACTGAAAAAGGATCCCAGGTGCACCCAGGAAATAGAGGGCACAGAGTGAGTGTTTTAACTTTTTGTATTTGCTGTGGTGCTTTCATACTACACTGAATTTTGCTTCCCTTAGCCAAGTGGCTGAGGATCTGTGAATGCACTGAGATTAGACTTGAATTTTTCCATTGTTTGCGCTGAAACAACTTGAGTTGTTAATCAACGTGTTATGTACAGCCTAATTGTAGCCCCCGGACGAAGTCAGGTGGCTACTGTGGATTAATTCTTGTTGTCTCTGTCGCCGCCGCCTCCGTTGACACTTCCTTGTGGACGCTGTACAGGCTGCAATTTTTGACCGATTTCTTTCATATTTGGTATGAACATGTGTTATTCTTAAATGATGGCACCTATCGATTTTGGTTGCCATGCCAACAGTATTGGCCGAATAATGCACAAAAAAGGGGAGAAATGGGCTTTTGGG